AGAACTAAAAGCTGGTGTGAAGCCCAGAGAGAAGGGTAGGTACTTGTGAGGTTACCCAAATACCTTCTAAGACTTCATTTTTTCAGATAGATAGCTGCCGTCGAGTCGACTCCCAACTCATGGCGACTGTATGTACAACAGAAGGAAATGTCACCCAGTCCTGTGCCATAATCATGACCGCTGGCATATTTGAGTCTGTTGCTGTGACTACTGTGCCAGTCTATCTCTCTGAGGGTCACCTTCGCCCTCACTGGCCCTCTGCTTTGCCAGACATGATGTCCTCCTCCAGCGATTGATCCCTCCTGATGACATGTCCAAAGCAATCAAGGCAGACAGTGCTCTGTTGTGATCCATAGGGTTTTTATTGGCGAATTTTTGGAGGTAAATTACCAGGCTTTTCTTCCTAGTCTTTCTTTGTCTGGAAGCTCTACTGAAATCTGTCCACCTGCTGGTATTTGAAATACTGGTGGCATAGCTTCCAGCATCACAGCAACATGTAAGCCACCACAGTACAACAGACTGACAGATGGGTGGCGGTTTTATTTTTTACTGCCGTCTAAATGGATCTGGTGAAGATGCTTCCTGACCTTTCTTTCGGTATTTACAGTTATTTTATTTAGAGAACAATTTTATTTAGAAAATGTCTTAGAACCTTAGGTTGCAAAAAAATAAAAACAGTAAAAGGCACTACCAGTATTGACAAAGCTGTTTTCTTCTTGTGGAATATAAGATTATCTGGATTCTGATCAATGAAATATTTAGATATGGTCATTGGAGCATAGGTTTTATACCTATACTTAATAATCATTTCCTTTTTAAAAAAATTGTGTTGTTACTGGGGGTTCAGTTTTATTTAGAGAAACCTGGCTCTGATGGGGAGGATGTACCACCCTAACCCTAGCTCTGTACTGAAGGATGCCTGGTGGGTTAGAATGTGGGTGAGAGACACACAGTGGTGTTGCTAGGGTTGGATTCATCCAGTGCGGTAACTCATGGTGTCATCCCTCCCACCCCATGGACATCCACCTGTACCAGACCCCTTAGTAATGTTTTTTGTACTGTTACTTGTAAATTGTAATTCCCTTATGTCACTCCTTCTTTTCCTTTAATTACTACTTCATTCTCAAAAGAGTTATTTTTATAGGTTCACGAATACTAATTACCACAACATTTTAGCTAAAACACCAGAATATTTGACAACATCAGTGACTGTGAAAACACTGGCAGTGACAAAAACAATAGCACGTGCTTGTAACACATACAGATGCAACCATGTGATTTGGAGCCTCGTTGTAATTGGGTAATCATGACAGCTCTGACTGGAGGGCATTAAAAGGTTCAAAAAGTAAACTACCATAGAGTTTTGGCCTTGAAGGTATATTGATACATGTAAGCTCGTCTTTGGTACCATCGAGTCGGCTCCAACTCATAGCGACCCTGTGTACCAGAATGAAACATTGCCCAATCCTCTGCCATCCTCACAATTGTTACGCTTCAGCACATTTTTGCAGCCACTCTGTCAGTCCATCTCATGGAGGGCCTCCCTCTTCTTTGTTGACCCTCTACATTACCAAGCTTGATGTGCTTCTCTAGGGACTGGTCCCTCCTGATACCATGTCCAAAGTATGGGAGACAAAGTCTTGCCACCCTTGCTTCTAGGGAGTGTTCTGGCTGTGCTTCCAAGATAGACTTGTTCATTCTTCTGGCAGTCCATGGTATATTCAATATTCTTTGCCAACGCCATAATTCAAAGGCATCAATTCTTCTTTGGTCTTCCTTAGTCATTGTCCAGCTTTCACATGCATATAAGGTGATTGAAAACACCATAGCTTGGGTCAGGTGCACCTTAGTGCTTAAAGTGACGTCTTTGCTTTTTAACACTTTAAAGAGGTCTTCTGCAGTAGATTTGCCCAGTGCAGTGCTTCGTTTGATTTCTTAACCCTGCTGCTTCTATGGACATTGATTGTGAATCGAAGTAAAATGAAATCCTTACAAAAAATGTTTTTGTTATTGTAACTAACTGCAGGGATATTTTTATAGACAGTCATTTTGGTGTCACCCCCTCTGACAGTGTCACTGGTGGGGTCCGCACCCCCTGCATCTCCCTAATGACACCACTGGAAACATAGGGAAAGTTGGAATGGGATGTGGTGGAGGCCAGTATGTTCCCAGGTTTCATGAGGTGCATCGCTATAGAAGTGTTCTTGAGAATTTCTGAGCAGTCTGATAGATTGATGATGCATTCACAGAGTGGTTAGTGTGGTAAGGCACTTTGCCAATGACATGTCAAGAATGCTGGGCTTAGAGTAAATCAAGGACAAACACCTCATCAATGTTTTTTTGAAACTTCCAACCTCATCAGTACGTTTTTGTGAGAGTTCCAGGAAACCTATCCTGAAACCAACCCCAGTGTTGTAACTTGTGCTATTTTGCTAGTAAGAATTAGCCATTAGAAAAAAAACTAAGTACTTGTTATCAATCAGGCCATACAACAGTTGGTTTTCACTAGCTGGTGGTAGTGGTTTTTAACAGATGCCGTCTAGCTGGCCTCTGACTCGTGGTGATGCCACGTACAAAAGAGCGAAATGCTGCCCAGACCTGCACCATCCCCATGATTGGTTGCAGATTGGACCATTGTGATTCATAGGGTTTTTTCACTGATTGATTTTCACAAGTTGATCACCAGGCCTTTCTTCCTACTCTGTGTTAGTCTGGAAGCGCCACTGAAACCTGTTCCACATCATAGCAACACGTAGGCCTCCACTGACAGACAGGTGGTGGTTGCACATGTGGTGCATTGGTCGGGGAAGCAACCCTGGTCTCCCTCATGGAAGGCAAGAATTTGGATAGTAAAATTGAAATGTGATACTCTAATTGGATGGAAGAAAACACATAGAGTCTGTGCTCACTGCTGTAGGACGACCTCAGAGTCATTGTTTCAAGTACAAGTAGAGAAGGGAAACCAGGTGCTTTCTGAGTTGGAGGGTGTCTTAGTCATCTAGTGCTGCTATAACAGAAATACCACAGGTGGATGGCTTTAACAAAGAGAAATTTATTTTTTTACGGTAAGGTAGGTTGAAGGTCCAAATTCGCGGGGTCAGCTCCAGGGGAAGTCTTCCTCTGTTGGCCTTCTCATCAGTGTTCCCCTGGACTAGGAGCTTCTCTGCACAGGGACCCCAGGTCCAAAGGACACGCTGTGCTCCTTTCACTGTTTTCTTGGTGCTATGAGGTCTGTCTGTCTTTCTGCTCACTTATGTCTTCTGTATCTCAAGAGATTGCCTCAGGACACAATCCAGTCCTGTAAATTGAGTCCTGCCTCACTAACACAACTGCTGCCCATCCTCCCTCATTAAAATCATAGAGCAGGATTTACCACACTTGGGAAAATCACACAATACTGGGAATGATGGCCCAGCCAAACTGATAACGCACATTTTTGGGGGGATATAATTCAGTCCACGACAGAGGGGTACTGAGAAGGCAAGCTGCTGACGCTGCGTAAGTAATTTAGACTGCCTGGGCATGGACTAGAATGCCCGTGATTGAGCAATAGAAGAGATCCCAGGGACACAAGTCACCTCAGAGTTGTGATAACAGGTAACACCAGTGGTCCAGGATAAACTCCAGCAAGACCTTTTCAATCCCAGTTAAAACAGATACGAGATTAAAAGAATCCCTTGAGGTACCTGCTATCCTGACTTTGTACTGAGCATCCCACTGTTTTTCTGTATTGTTCTACCAACTGTCTGTGCATCCCGTAGCCATATAGAGTGTTGAAGAGTGGTGTAGTAACAAGCTCAAACGTAGCTGTGTCAGGGAAGGGTAATTTTGCCATTGTAGGTGAAGACTCCAAGGCAGAGATAAGTGGAAGGAGTTTCTGGTTCATAGTCTGGCTTCAGGCTCCCTGAGGTTACAGAGGCCCCTTGGACCTCAGGGTGGACAAGGTTCTGAGTGATTTCTGACAAACAGGCCACCTCAGGGCTGAAGTGCAGCCCAGGCACTGGTAGGAACATGGTCTGGAGAAGTGAGGCAGTCTGTTCTGCTTCCATGTGCTCCAGTAGCTGACTTCTCTTCAGAACACTTGTACGGAATGACTCGAGAGTCCCCAACTGGTCTAGGGGGCAGGACACCCAGAGAAGAGCAGCAGCCATAGCTCCTGTCTCAGATCCTGGTAGAGGGATGTGGCTGCGACTCACTGCTGCCACCTAGTGGCAGAGTACTTACATGGAAGCGCCAACTCCTTTGAAAAGAATGAGAATGAATTGTGACTGCTGCCAGATGCCATGACTGTGGTCTTGTGAATCTTTGTTTTGACCTATATATTGTGAATTATTAACCAAGAAACTAGTTCCTGTCAAATTGATTCCAACTCATGGCGACTCCATGCATGTCAGAGTAGAACTATTCCCCACAGGGTTTTCAGTGGCTGATTTTTTGGAAGTAGATCACCAGGATTTTCTTTTGTGGTGCCTCTCAGTGGGCTTGAACCTCCAACCTATATATTTACTTTATAGAAAACCAGACATAGAAGCTCAGGGAAGAGAAATTATGAAAAACCAAATTGCATGATGTTTTACAGTGTTGATTTTTGAAGATGGTAAGAAAAAAATACATTCAATTTAATTATGTTTGACACAAATAGTGACTGATTTAGTTTGATAACCAGGGTACAGTATTGTAAGGAAGAAATTGTAGAGACAGTGTATATGAGTGTAGCTCAGTCGAATTTGAATAATATTAGGACATAATTTATTTTTATGATACATACCTTTATTCTTATATTGACCAAAACAATGGCTTTGGAACCAGACTGCTGGAGTTTGAATTATGGCTATACCACTTATTAAGAGAACGATATTGGCTTATAACCTTTTTGCCTTTAGTTTTCTGCTATTATTATTGGTATTGTTGGTCTCTGTATAGCAGGTAAGTGTATTGTATTTAAGTATTTGTTCCAATGTTGACACATGAATAATATCTATCTAATTATTTTTTAATAGGGACCTTCGAAACAATCTTATTAGTAGCATAGATCCAGGTGCCTTCTGGGGGCTGTCATCGCTAAAAAGATTGTAAGTGTTTGAATTGCTTACTTACGAGTTTGAACTGTTCCTTTTATAAGTAGCTATTAACCCCCTTTGAGCTTTATTTTAACAGGATAAAAAAATGAGTATTTAATAATTTTCACAAGTTCACCTGGGCAGGTCCATGATAGAAAAACAAAGAGAGTGTTTTTAATATAATAGCTTGTTGTTAGGTGCCATGGAGTTGACTCCAACTCATAGCGACCCTATGTATAATGGAACGAAACACGCCCGGTCCTGTGCTATCCTCGCAATTGTTGTTATGTTTGAGCCCATTGTTTTAGCCACTGTTTCAATCCATCTTCTTGAGGGTCTTTCTCTTTTTCACTAACTCTCCACTTTAACAAGCATGATGTCCCTCTCCAGAGGCTGGTCCCTCCTGATAACATGTCCGAAGTATGTGAGATGAAGTCTCACCATCCTTGCTTCTGGGGAGCATTCTGGTTGTACTTCTACCAAGACAGATTTGTTTGTTCTTCTGGCAGTTCATGGTATATTCAGTATTTTTCACCAATGCTATAATTCAAAGGCATCGATTCTTTGGTCTTCCTTATTCATTATCTAGCTTTTGCATGCATATGAGGCGATTGAAAACTCCACGGCTTAAGTCAGGTGCATCTTAGTCCTTAAAGTGACATCTTTGCTTTTCAACACTTTAAAGAGGTCTTTTGCAGCAGATTTGCCCATTCTGATGTGTCGTTTGATTTCTTGACTGCTGCTTCCGTGAGTGTTGCTTGTGGATCTAAGTAAAATGCAATCCTTGACAACTTCAGTCTTTCCTCTGTTTATCATAATGTTGCTTATTGGTCTAGTGAGAATTTTCTGTTGAGGTGTAATCCATACCGAAGGCTGTAGTCTTTGATCTTCATAAGGAAGTGCTTCAGGTTTTCTTTTCTTTCGGCCCGGAAGGCTGTGTCATCTGCATAACGCAGGTTGTTAATGAGTCTTCCTCCAATTCTGATGCCCCGTTCTTCTTCATATAGTGCAGCTTCTCGGATTATTTGCTCAGCATACAGATTGAATAAGTATGCTTAAAGAATACAACCCTGACGCATGCCTTTCCTGATTTTAGACCTCGAAGTAGCCATTGTTGTGTTCAGATTCCCTTTTGGTCTGTGTACATGTTCTGCATGAGCACGATTAAGTGTTCTGGGATTCCCATTCTTTGCAATGTTATCCTTAATTCGGTACGATCCACACAGTCGAATGCCTTTGTGTAGTCAATGAAACAGATAGACATCTTAGAAAGGAATTAATTTGTACAATAATTTAATTTGTTTGATGTACAAGGTCGTGTCCCTCCAATGCTAATAAAATCATTACTGTATTGGCTTTGCTGTTTTACTTAATCTATAGATGATTTTCAAATTATGAATCCATTCAGACCTTTTCTCTTGGAAATAGCATATATATTGAAGTACCTTTCTGTTACTGAGGTAAATTGTCATTTTCATATATATTTGATCTATATATTAATATATTTCAAAACCTAAAGACCAGTTTTTGTTTTTTACTACTTCTGAAGCTATGGAATACCCTCCTCCCCTTATTGTGCTCATCTCAAAATTGCTAGGTGAGCAGGCTCACACATGAGAAGTGACCCTTTTCTTCACTCAAGCTGTATGGACTCACGTCTCATACTTCCCACCTGCATACATATCTTTTATCACTTCTTCATACGTTTATTGAGTGCTGACCTCTTACCATGTTCTTATTTCTCTGGAAGAGCTCACAGGCTCCAGGGAGTGGTCCTAGGGATAAGTAGTTAAAGAAAATACAACCCAATATGTGCTATAAACAAACCAAAACCAAAAAACCCAAACCCGTTGCCATCGAGTCAGTTCCCACTGTGACAACTCCATGTGTTACAGAGTAGAACTGCTCCATGGGATTTTCTTCGCTGTAATTTTTACAGAAGCAGATCTCCAGGCCTTTCTTCCGCAGAGCCTCTCGGGTGGGTTTGAACTGCCAGCCTTTAGATTAGCAGACAGTTGCAAACTGCTTGCACCATCCAGGCTCCTTAGTATGTGATGTAATAGATATTGGAGCCCTGGTGGTGCAGTGGTTAAAAGCTTGGTTGCTCACCAAAGGACAGCAGTTCGAATCCACCAGCTGCTCCTTGGAACCTCGGAAACTCTATGGGGCAGTTCTACTCTGTTCTGTAGGGGTCTCTATGAGTCAGAATCGACTCCATGGCAGTGGGTTTTTGGTTTTATCGTGCTTTCTTACTGTTTATTTAACATTTTTAATTGTTCAAGGTGCCTGGTTATTTTTTATGTTTTCTTTGTTTTCCCACAATATTTATATAATAAACTGGCTATAGTTGCTTTTACTTTATTCGTGCCATGAATTAGATATTGCTACCAATTTTCTGTCTTAGAACTTTGCACATCTTGTATTTTTTATTTTGCTGTCATTCAAAACCTGTTCATGTTTATAGTCAGATCCAATTGTATGAGTTGGCAGTGCTATTTTTGCAGAATTTTATTACTTTTGGAAGTACAATTATCTTTCCTCTAAGAATTTAATTTATCATCTGTAGCTCCTCTCCCAGTTCCCTCGCTTGGCCAGTCTAAAGATTCAGACCTTTGGAATATTAAGAATAATAGGAGGTAAAAGTTTCTGTCTTCATCTGCTTGTAAAATTATTTAAAGAAATTTTAGTCAGACTTTGCATTAGGTAATTCTGTTGTCATAGTTTATCTGTTTGGGAAAGGGTACATTGTGTTCATCAGGCTTTGCATGCACTGACTCAGTGGAGCTCAAGGATGCCTGGAGGAGATCTCACTACTAATCAGTTTTCTTCTCTCCCACTAAGTCTGTGCTTCCTTATTTTTCATTTAAGGTTTTGGGTATTAATGAAACAAGCCAGGAAAGCTGACCAGGTTGGGGGTAGGTCAGTGGTACTAATGGAGATTGGAATTCTAGATTTAAAAAAATGAAACAAAAAAACATTATCATCAAGTTGAGTCCAACTTATGGTGACCCCATGTGTACAGAAGTGAACTGCTGCACGGGTGTTTTGGCTGTAATCTTTATTATAGAAACAGATCCCCAGACCTTTCTCCTGTCATGCCACTGAGTGAGTTTGAACCGCCAACCTTTACGTTAGTAGATGAGCTCAAACTGTTTGCATCACCCAGGGACCTTGGAATTCTAGATAAGGAAGATAAAAAGGGTTAGGGGGTGGGCATGGACAGTAAGTAGGTAGGCATCAGAGTTGCAGTGGATCCAGATAGGTTTAGAATTCAGGAAGAGTAACATCAACGTTATCAAAGTGGTAAGGCAGAGATCAGCATCAGTTGCCTTCAGCAAAAATTCATTGAGTCCATCCTTTGTGCACAACAGTAAGCAAGGCTGTAGAGTGCAAAGATAATCAGGAACCCCTTGCTGGATTTGCAGTCCAGTGGAATCATACACGTGGATGAAAAGCCTGCATATGGAAGAGGAATCTAGTTTCAGAGAGAGAGGGTGATAGCTGCTAGGAGTCTTGGCAGTTATTAGGACTTAGTCATCTGTACCCGTAGGGGTTTGGAGCACAACCCTAAATGGGCTGCACCTCCAAAACAGTGACTGGGCCTTTAGGGAGTGCAGTTTGATTTATAATAGAGTCACTTTCTTTGTGCTCCTTATCAGGGATTAACTGATGCTTCGTTGGGATGGTTCAGTTTGTATCTATCCGTAGAAATGTGAATCTTCAAGTAGGAAGCACTGTAGAAGCTCTGGGGCTGGAGCCAACAACCTTTGTTTTAACCATCCAGGTGATTCAGAGCCCTGGTGGTGCAGTGATTAAGAGCTCGACTGTGAACAAAAAGGTTGGCAATTCGAATCCATCAGCCACTCCTTGGAGACCCTATGGGACAGTTCTACTCTGTCCTGTAGGGCTGCTATGAGTGGGAATCAACTTGACAGCAATGGATTTGGTTTGGTTTTGGTTTCCAGGTGATTCTGATGCTGAAATTTGAGAATGTCTAGAATATTTTTTCCTCCAACTTGTCTTTACCTTTCTTTTCCCTTAAGGGGAGGTTAAGATGTCATACTGTCAGACAAGACCACTTCTTATTTTCTCTCTCTGTGATCCACACCCCTGTATTAACAGCTTTTAAGTAATAGATTCATGGTAATAATATCTCTATGTTAAGGTATAGGCTGAAGAAAAATTGAATATTAATAAAGTTTCATCAGAATGTTCTAAGGATACTGTAGAGTATCTTAGGTTTTCCATTTCTTTATACGTAAGTAAATTTCTCAGGTACTGGTGTACACAAGAAAAACCAGAACAGAAAAAAAAACTTTTTTTTTTCTTTTTTAGTAGCGTTTCACTTAATTACTGATATTTTACCAGGTATCATCTACACACTGTATGAAACAGTCTCTTGTCTTCTTGCCTAGGAAGGCACTTGCTATTTATAATGTTTTTCCTATTAGAAAATATGTTCTTAATTCTAAATAGCTGACCTATCATTGAACTTATACATTTTGCAGCCTAAGTGGTCCTGTATGTAAACTCAGTAGGTTATAAAGATATTGTGCAGTAGTCATGTTTGCTGTGGTTGCTTGTAGACACAAGCACTTTTTTCTTATGAGACCTTAAATCCTTCGTCTCAGCCGTGCATCTCACACGACAGCCAGGCAGCAAGCATTTTTGTAAGCATGTCATACCGCTGCCTTTAGTTTATAGGTAATTTGAATCAGGGAGATTAAATGGCTTTTTGAGGAATAAACTATGAAAAGTAAATAAAACCTAGACCTGTATAAGTACTCTCTTGCTTTATCAACAAGATCTGTAAAGTAAGGAGCTAATTCATTTTTTTTTTCTTTTTCATTACAGTCAGAACTTCTGAATATTAGGAATACTCAGGAATGAATTAGAAAGCAGTAAATTTGAGATGTTCATGAGGAAATAAAAGCTCCATCATTTTGATAATTTGCCATTTTATTTGTTATTTATTATGTGTTAGCTGAGATCAGGCTCTCTCGTCTAACATCACCCACCATAATTAACCATAGGTTATGTAAGAAATTGTATCGCAGAATAGTAAGATATATTGGGCCCCATTTTTTGACTTCAGCTTCATCTTGGGTAACTTTGCAGGAGTAAAAGAAAATACTTGAAATGTAGAGAGCACAGTACTTAAGCACAGTTTAGTTCGCGTGTGAGAGGTAAGTGGAAGCAAGGTGACACCATCTCATTGCTGTCCTTATCTCACTGGGGTGTAGGTAGAGATCTCACAGGGGCTGAAAAGAAAAGGCTTGTGTGATACCTGGATGCTTCATTAACTGAGAAAACTAATTGTGCCCACTTTCTCCCCCTTCTCCTTAGAGACCTGACAAACAATCGGATAGGATGTCTGAATGCAGATATATTTAGAGGACTCCCCAACCTGGTTAGGCTGTAAGTACATCTTTCTTTCCTATTCACATATAATCGAGCGTTTGAACTCGTACCCAAAGATTGATGAACACCTATGATAATGTGTAGGAGCCATGGTAGCGCAGTGGTTAAGCGATTGACTGCTAACTGAAAGGTCAGTGATTCGAACCCACCAGCCACTGCATGGGAGAAAGATGTAGCAGTCTGCTTCTGTAAGATTACAGCTTTGGAAACCCTATGGTGCAGTTCTGCTCGGTCCTGTAGGGTCGCTATGAGTCAGAATCGACTTGACGGAAGTAGGTTTGTTTTTTTTTGTTTTATGGTATATTTAACATGAAAGTAGTAACTCTAGGGATTATATAAACAGGAAGGGACAGAAGCTTGCAAACTAATCATGGAGATATAATGTTACCAGAACATAATACGCTACTACGCACACACGCACACACAAACGTGTGATGTAGTTTACATACCAGAGAACATGTTCATGTTGAGAGATATGATTGAAGGCTTCAGTAATCTGGTAAAACTTCTTGGAAGAGGACAGACATGAGCTGATGGTACAGAAGTGTGCAAAAATTTGGATAGTTAGAAACAAAAAGAAGCTGAGCAAATGCTTAAAGGTGGAAGTGAGAGCCAGACCAGTTTGACAAAGGGAACAGGAGTGGAGTAAAACGGCCATTTGAAGGTTGCCTCTGGCCATGTGATTTGGGGTGAGTTATTTAACTTTCCTCAGCTTTTCCAGTTTACATCTGTAAAGTAGGTTCATTAACATCCCAAAATTATCATCATGATTAATTAAAATTTAAATGATCTACATCTCTTTATCACTGTTATAATTTGTATGCAATATGAATATAGAAGAACTTCGTATAAGCCCTCAAATTTATTTTTTTAATACAGACAATCTATGTGGTAGTAATGAGAAATAAAGCTGATTATCTATAGTAGAGCTTTATATTGACGCGTATGAAAAGCAGACAGGGAAGCTTAGAACTGACTCAGTTAACAGGAAGCCACTCAAAGTCTTTTATGTGGGAAAATGGCAGAAAATAATGTTTCTTCTGGAAAAACAGTCTGACGATACTTTGTAATATAAACTGGGGGATTTAGGCTCGAAGATTTATGGTAAAAGACTTTTCTGTGCCTGGGTCTTTTTCTGTGTAATTCCTTGGAATATTTCTTCTGTTTTCATTCAAGTTACCTTTGAAAGAGCTTGTCAGTGCTTGAATAGTGAGATGATCCCATCTGTACAGTCAGGGAGGAGATGTCAGGTCACTGGCTAGAATGGAACAAATTGTTCCTGCTTCTTTAGTCAGTGGTTAAGAGCTTGGCTGGAAACTATGGGGCAGTTCAACTCTGTCCTGTAGGGTCGCTGTGAATCAGAATCGACTCCATGGCAACAGGTTTTCTTTAGTTCGGAAACTTGAGAGAGTGTTTTTTAGTCACCCTTTAATTTTTGGGAGGGTAAGATATATGGCCTAATTCATTTTTTAAATAGAAAGTTTGATTTCCCGTGTAGTTTTATCCATGTCTTGAAATTACTCAAATCAATTGTATTTAACTCCCTTGTAATAAGATTGCAAACAATCTTTTCCTATTTTAGTTTTTTTTTTTGTATTTTTAGTTTTGAGGACTGCATAAGAATTTGCAAAATTCGGCATCTATGAAGGAAAAGTTTGTTGTGATTTTGGATAGCTGTGACTAGAGTAATGAAAAAAGTCTGGAGCCTTCTGTTTTGATTTCAGTTACAGATTGATTTATCGCTTTGGCTAGGGATGTGACCCACCAGAAATGTTCCTGAGGAAAGGGAATGGAGTTAGGGCAGTGCCGATGATAGATCATTTTAGGTCATAGTTAGGTTCAGTTACCATGAGCAAGGTATGTTTTTCCACTTTTGCAGGTCTCTTTTGGTTTCTTGCAGTAGCGTCTTGTAGTTTTCATTGTATAGGTCTTTTATGTCTCTGGTTAGATTTATTCCTAAGTATTTTATTTTCTTGGGGGCTATCATAAATGGTATTGATTTGATGATTTCCTCTCGAAAGTTCTCTTTGTTGGTGTAGTGGAATCCTACTGATTTTTGTATGTTTATGTTATATCCTGATACTTTGCTGAAATCTTCTATTAGTTCCAGTAGTTTTCTTGTGGATTCTTTGGGGTTTTCTGTGTAGAAGGTCATATCATCTGCAAATAGAGATACTTTGACTTCCTCCCTGCCAGTCTGGATGCCCTTTCTTTCTTTCTCTAGCCTAATTGCTCTGGCTAGGACCTCCAGCACAATGCTGAATAAGTGGTGATAAAGGGTGTCCTTGTCTGGTTCCCATCCTCAAGGGGATTGCTTTCAAAGTCTCTCCATTTAGGATGATGCTGGCTGTTGGCTTTGTGTAAATGCCTTTAATTATGTTGAGGAATTTCAGTTCTATTCCTATTTTGTTGAGAGTTTTTATCATGAATGGGTGTTGGACTTTGTTAAATGCCTTTTCTGCATCAATTGATAAGCTCATGTGGTTCTTTTATTTTATTTATGTGATGGATTACATTGTTTTTCTAATATTGAACCATCCCTCCACACCTAGTATAAATCCTGCTTGATCATGGTGAATTTTTTTTTTTTGATATGTTGCTGAATTCTATTGGCTGGAATTTTGTTGAGGATTTTTGCATCAATGTTCATGAGGGATATTGGTCTGTAATTTTCTTTTTTTGTGGTGTCTTTACCTGGTTTTGGTACACGGTTATGCTGGCTTCATAGAATGAGTTTGGGAGTATTCCATCCTTTTCTATGCTCTGAAATACCTTTAGTAGTAGTGGTGTTAACTCTTCTCTGAAAGTTTGGTAGAATTCTCCAGTGAAACCATCTGGGCCAGGGCTTTTTTTTTTTTTTTGGAATTTTTTAAAATTACCTTTTCAATCTCTTCTTTTGTTGTAGGTCTATTTAGTTGTTATACCTCTGTTTGTGTTAGTTTAGGTAGGTAGTGAGTTTCTAGAAATTTGTCTATTTCCTCTAGGTTTTCAAATTTGTTAGAGTACCGTTTTTCATAGTAATCTGTTGTTGTTCTTTTAATTTCAGTTGGGTCTGTTGTGATAATCACCCATTTCATTTCTTATACGGGTTATTTGCTTCCTCTCCTGTTTTTCTTTTGTCAGTTTGGCGAGTGGTTTATCAATTTTGTTGATCTTTTCAAAGAACCAACTTTTGGTCTTATTAACTCTTTAAATTGTTTTTCTGTTCTTTGTTTCATTTAATTCTGCTCTAATTCTTACTATTTTCTTTCTTCTGGCACCCAAGGGCTTCTTTTGCTTCTCTCTTTCTAATTGTTTGAGTTGTAGGGTTAATGTTTTGGTTTTGGCCGTTTCTTCTTTTTGGATGTGCGCATTTATTGCTATAAACTGTCCTCTGAGTGCTGCTTTTGCTGAGTCGCAAAGGTTCTGGTAGGATGTGTTTTCATTCTGTGATTTTCTGTGTTTTGATTCTATGAATTTCTTTATTCCATCGTTAATTTCTTCAACAACCCAGTAGTTTTTGAGTAAGGTGTTGTTCAGTTTCCATGTGTTTGATTTTTTTTCCTTGCTTTTTCAGTTGTTGATTTCTACTTTTATGGCTTTATGGTGAGAAACGATGCTTTGTAAAATTTCAGTGCTTTGGATTTTGTTAAGGCTTGCTTTATGGCCTAATATGTTGTCTATTCTGAAGAATGCTCCATGTGCGTTGGAAAAGAAAGTATACTTGGCTGCTGTTGGGTGGAGTATTTGGTATATGTCTATGAGATCAAGTTGGTTGATTGTAGCATTTAGATCTTCCGTGTCTTTATTGAGCTGCTTTCTTGATGTTCTGCCCTTCACAGAAAGTGGAGTGTTGAAGTTTTCTACTCTTATTGTGGAGCTGTCTATCTCTCTTTTCAATGCTGTTAGAGTTTATGTATTTTGGAGCCCTGTCATTGGGTGGGTAAATATTTATTATTGTTTTCTCCTCCTGGTGTACTGAGCCTTTAATCATTATATAGTGTCCTTCCTTATCCTTTGTGGTGGATTTTACTTTAAAGTCTGTTTTGTCAGAGATTAATATTGCCACTCCTGCTCTTTTCTGAATGTTGTTTGCTTGATACATTTGTTTCCATCCTTTGAATTTTAGTTTGTTTGTGTCTTCAAGGTGTGTCTCTTGTAGGCAGTGTATAGATGGATTGTGTTTTTTTATATCCATTCTGCCACTCTCTGTCTCTTAATGGGTGCATTTAGTCCATTTACATTCAGCATAATTATTGATAGATAGGAGTTTAGTGCTGTCATTTTGATGTCTTTTTTTGTGTGTTGTTGACAGTTTTTTTGTTCCACTTAATTTTCTGTGCTGAGTCGTTTTTTTTTTAAATATATTTTGTTTTCATCTTTTTCATTGTTGTTGATTTTGTATTTGCTGAGTCTTTATATTTTTCTTGTTTTTTATTTTGACTTGTAGGGTTGTTAGTTTTCTTTGTGGTTACCTTAATATTTACCCCTATTTTTCTAAGTTTAAACCAGTCTTTTATTTCTTTATATCTCCTTGACTTTCTCTCCATATGAAAAATCTGTGTCTACATTTTTTAGTCCCTCTTTTTTGTTTTAATATTGTCATCTTTTTTTTACTGACATTTCTGTTTCCCTATTTTCAGTGTTTAAGCTTTGATTTATATTTGTGACTTCCTTACCTGAGTTGATACCTGGTTGCTCTGCCCTGTGTTATAGTGTTGGGTTGTTATCTGATGTTATTGATTTTCTAATCAGAGGACTCCCTTTAGTATTTCTTGTAATTCAGGTTTGGTTTTTGCAAATTCCCTAAACTTCTGTTTATCTGGACATGCCCTAATTTCGCCATCATATTTGAGAGACAGTTTTGTTAGATATATAATTCTTGGCTAGCAATTTTTTTCCTTCAAGGCTTTATATATGTCATCCCATTGCCTTCTTGCCTGTATGGTTTCTGCTGAGTAGTCTGAGCTTAGTCTTATTGATCCTCCTTCGTAGGTGACTTTTCGTTTATCCCTAGCCACTCTTAAAATTCTCTCTTTATCTTTGGTTTGATTATAATATATCTTAGTGACTTTCTTTTGGGATCTACCTTATGTGGGGTCCGATGAGCATCTTGGATAGATAATCTTGTCATTTTTCACGATACCAGGGAGGTTTTCTGTCAACAAATCTTCAACAATTCTCTCTGTGTTTTCTGCTATACCCCCCATTCTGGTACTCCAATCACTCGTAGGTTATTCCTCTTGATGGAGTCCCACATAATTCTTAGGGTTTCTTCATTTTTTTTTTTAATCCTTTTATTTGATTTTTCCTCTAATAAGTTGGTGTCAAGTGCTTTATCTTCAGTCTCACTAATTCTGATTTCCATTGCCTCAATTCTACTCTTGTGACTTTCTGTTGAGTTGTCTAATTCTGAAATTTTGTTAGTCTTCTGGATTTCTGATTTCTGTCTCTCTATGGATTCTTGCAGCCTGTTAAATTTGTCATTATGCTCTTCTCTAATCTTCTTAAGTTCCTCTGTTGCCTGGCCTACGTTTTGCATAATCTCCTTTCTGATCTCTTGAAGAGTTCTGTATGTTAATCTTTTGTATTCTGCCTCTGGTAATTCCAAGAAATTTTCTTCTTCCAGAAAATTTCTAGATTCTTTATTCTGGGTGCTTGCTGAAGCCATCATCGTCTGTCTGTTTATGTGATATAATATTGACTGTTGTCCTCAAGCCATCAGTAAGTTATTATATATTTTATATCTGCTTACTGTGTCCTAGCTTCTTGTTTTGTTTTGTTTTGATATGCCCAAATAGGCTGCTCATGTGAGCTAGCCCGATTACCAGCACCCCTGAAGCCCCAATGTCCTGCCACCAGGTGGTTAGGCCTGTTACTATGTGAGTACAGGATTCCATTTACTTTTCTTGTATGGATTCAGCTCAGGTGTCCAGGTAGTCGGTCACCAAGTGTGTGGTGTAGGCTCTCACCGACAGTCCTAGACAGGTATGGGTGGTTGGCGTAGACACAGGCATCTGGCTGCAGCAGGGGGTCACACTCTGAGCAAGGCAGGGCGCCAGCGGCCACCCTGAGCATCTGAGAGGAAAGCGTGTCCCTGTTGCATAGAGCGTGTAGGTAGGTGGCTTTTGCAGCCAGACTGTGAGCACCCAGTACTGTTGGCTGTAAGGACTGGGGGGCACCACTTATTCTTGGGCCTGTGTCGCAGGTGGCCAGGTGGCGTGGGTGGAGCCACCAGTCCTCAGGCCCCTAATATGGGTAGGTGAAGACCCTGCTTAATGTGCAGAGCAGTGTCAGATGTCATGAACCTGCCACGTCTCAGCTGAAACAGTTGAAGTTAGATTTCAGGTATATACCCTGTTGTACTGCGGTAATGAGGGCCTATGCTGTTGAAATGGGCCCACACAAGTCTCTGCAGAGGGAAAGGCACTCAAAGCCCTTGGATCCCTTATGCCTGTGCCTAGGCAAAGGAGCCATGCCTACCCTGAGTTCCTGGCTTAGGGAAGCTGGCAGATTATTTTTTCCCCATTTGTTAATTTGTTCCCTCTCCAAGGCCGGGAGAATGGCTCAGGGCACTTGATGGGTCCTGCTTCTGGCCCAGGGGAGTCGGCAGTCGCTGAAGCCGTCCCGGACCCAGTGCAGAGCATGGAGTGGGGAGGTGATTGGGAAAGAGGTTTTTCCCAAAGTGGGGTGATTTTGATCCACGGGGTAGGCCAGCCGCAAGTACTTACCTCTAGGCTATAATCTTTACGGGAGCAGATTGCCAGGTGTTTTCTCTCACTGAGCCACTGGTGGGTTAGAACTGTTGGCCTTTCGGTTAGCGGCTGAGCGCTTAACTGTTGCGCTACCAGGTCTCCTCAGGAAGGTTTAGGTATTTATTAAACCTATTCGATACAAGGAGAAACTGAGGAGTTTAAATCATTTGTCCAAGAATAACACTATCTTATATCCCAAGTCTCTTTCATTTTAAACCCTGAACTCATTTCACTCTACCCACGTTTTTCACCCAGTTACTGTGTGTTACTGCTGCTGAACTTTCAGGTTATCCTTTCCCTTTTCTTGTTTATTTTTTAATTTTGGTTTCTTCATTTAAATGATACTGAGTGAACACAAGAAGAATACTTCTGTGGGAATGAGTGTATGGCTAAAGACCTAATTTGTTAAATTGATGCTCGGTAAGGTAACTTTTAGGGTCACGTGATATTTGTTGGAAAAATCCTCATCTAGCAGTAAGCATTTTTTACAACTTTACATATTCCTTTTCATAAGGTTAAGAATAATTTTTTCCCTCAAACTTGATGAAAATAACTTACTAGTTACTTCCTTTTTATAAGATTTAAAATGACTTTCATAAATTCTTTATAACATTGTTTAATGAGTATGGGACATTTTAAAAAATATGAAATAATGTAAAATGATGTATAATGGTAGGTATTTTTTAAAGTGAAATTATTTCCATTTTTTCCAGAAATCTCTCGGGGAATTTGTTTTCTTCATTATCTCAAGGAACTTTTGATTATCTTGGCTCACTACGGTCTTTGTAAGTAAGAATTTTGTGTTAGTTTTTGAAGTTTATTATATGGTTTAAAGAGACTTTATGAGAACAATCTAGTGAATTTGCAGAAATTGTAATCTTAACTTGAGCACTTTCCACACTGAAAAACATACAGCAAGTCTTAAGAACTAGTTTCAGACTGGGACACTCATTTTCTCTTTAGAACATTATGTTACACTAATTTATTTTTAAAGGAAATAAATTGGTAATGTTGTTTCTCCTTGACTCTGTTTTAACATTAAAAAATATTTTGTTGTTTACATAATTGAATCCCAAAATATTAAATATCTCCTCCCTATGAAGAGTGCTCCTTAGAAGTGAGGGTGGTGAAACTTTGGCTAGCTTATTTTGGACAGGTCATCAGGAAAGACCAATTGCTAGAAAAGGACATCATGGTTGATAAAATAGTGGGTAAGCGACAATGAGGGAAGCCATCAGTGAGATAGATTGACAGAATAGTCAAAACAGTGGACTCAAACATAGCAGCAATCATGAAGGTGATGCAAGACCAGGAGATGCCTTATTCTGTTTTACATAAGGTTGCCATGAGTCTCAAGTGATTCCGCAGCATCTAACAACATGAAGAATTTATAGTTAAGAGTATTCTATACTTGAGAGATTTGATTTTATTCTGTAACCCCTGCCCAAGCTGAATTCATACCTTATTGCTGATGTTTGTAGGGATATATTAGAATACCTGCTTTATGAAATCAATATAAGATCAAGTTTACTCAGTTCTCTGTGGTTTTAGAATTGGTTGATTTTTTTTCCCCCCTTCAGAAACAGTTTTGTTTACTGAGAGATTGCACAGGGGTTGCTTTTGAAAATAACTATGTTCACATAAACCTTAATATATTTCAAGCTAAACGTTTTCTCATTTCTGGTTAGAATTAGAATTAAACAATAAGGTTTTTCAGATTTTCCTGGAGTATAATTTATGGGATTGAGTGTCTTTTTCCAAGGGAGAATTTCATCTCTACCGGACACCATCCTGTTTGGTGTATGCAGATTTCTTTTCTTTTTCATCATTTGACTCTCATTTGGCAGTCTTCACTGGGTTGCAGTTAATAGGTTAGACACTCATCTAGCTCCTCATGATCACGGCAGGCGTGCGTTTGTACTTCTAGAGTCACATTGGGTCTGACTGTCTGGTCTCCTGTTGGTGCCACTGTTGGACTTATCCACAGTGGGAACAGCTCCTTTTGGCCTATTTAGTGGACTCAAGTCAGCCATTTCTGTGGCTTAGGAAATAAAAACGTATGTGACCGGTAATCTGACCTTTGAGACCACGTGCAGCAGGAATGTGGGAAGTATCTTCATCCAAAAATTGGGAAAAATCGCCAGTGATTTTACCTATTGATATTAAGAACTGACCATTATAGGGTGCTTAGAAATTAGGAGTCATTCAGCTCATCTTTTTGGATTGTTTTCAATTTATCTTTGGTATATTCTATCTCCTCCTTTTTTTTTTTTTTTTTGCAAAAAGCAGTGAGGAGATGAACCTTGTGTCAGTGGACTGTTTTAGGCAGACAAATGCTTATTGCTCTTTGCACTCTATTGATTTATTTTTATAGAACATGCTACATTCTATTTTAGTTGTATTTATGTTTTTACTCCCCTTTTTTGCATTATGTCTTCTTTATTGGCAAGGATAATGTCTTAGCTTTAGTTTTATTAGATGGAATTAGCCTAATGTTTAGCACATGAATAGTCAGTTCTTAGTAAACCATGTTTTGGAGAGTTTATTGTGCTTATTTCCAACCTAAGGAATCCCTGGTGGCATAATGGTTCAGTGCTCAGCTACTAACCGAAAGGTTTGTGGTTTGAACCCACCAGATCTTCTGTTGGAGAAAAGACCTGGCAATCTGCTCCTGTGAAGACTACAGCCTAGAAAACCCTATGGGGCAGTTCTGCTCCGTCCTGTGGGGTTGCTATGAGTCGGAATCACCTCAGGAGCAACAGTATCTAATCTGTATATATTCTCTCTTTGTTTCTTATATCCAAGTGATAAATTATAAAACATCTTGCCTTATATAAAGATAATTCTCTGTTTTCATACTAAGTGTGATGTAGTCTTATTTTATATTTTTAATTTGCTGATTCACTAACCGTTAGTTCAATAAATATTTGTTGCCACTTGGAGCATAGTGCAGAGTTGCCAGAAATAGTCTCTACCTTGAGGAGCTTACAGTCTAGCCACACAGGCTGAATATAGCCACATGAAACAGTGTTATGTTGCCTTAGGTTGATGCTTCTGTGCCAAAATTAATAGGAGAGTTGTAGGCATTTAGACCAAGAATATGGCAACGATGCTGGAAAAATTGGGGAAGGCTTCAGGATCCAATCTAAGGGCCACATGCTTTATGATGCATGGTTAGACATTTGATAGACAAAAAGGATTGGGATTTGGCATTCCAGAAGCCTGGGGTTAAGGAGCTTGTTGCATAGAAGAGGGATGACGAATAGATTTTGTTTGCATACTAACTTTGATCAAAAGCAGAGACCCAGGATTGTGGGGAAATAGTGCCGGGATCAGACACTCTAAAAGTCAGCTCATTAGAAAGGAAAACATGACCAGTTGATGCTACATGCCACAGTGCTGGTAAGGGTGAATGGTAGCATGCTTGTCACCAAACGTATAAGCTAATACAAAATAAAAGTGCTATTTAATTTTATTCACCCTAATCTCTAATTTGTATTTTGTGTGGTACAGAGAATTCCAGACAGAGTATCTTTTGTGCGACTGTAACATATTGTGGATGCATCGCTGGGTAAAAGAGAGGAACATCACTGTCCGGGACACCAGGTGTGCTTATCCTAAGTCCCTGCAGGCCCAGCCAGTCACAGGTGTGAAGCAGGAGCTACTGACATGCGGTAAGGGAGAAATAGAGATGGATACAATATTTACCATGGTTTCACCTGCTACTGTGTTTTTCTTGATGAAACGTAAAATTCTCTTTACACTTGGTTGGAACTGACGTACAGCCATTAATCTCAGTGGATTTGATAATATTTAGTTTATGCCAATGATTAAACAATTAAGTCAGGTGGATTTAAAAAAATCTTATTATGTCTTATGATTTCATAGGTTCTGAACAGCTTTCTTTATGAAAGCCAATTTCCAAGAAGAGCATAGATCTTCAGATTTTCCATCAATTGGCAAATCAGGGAATTGCTTATCGTAATAAAATCTCAAGACACAGTCATATTATGTGAGGGTGGGAGTGTCCAATGATAAAGCCTTTCTGTAGTTTGGCAATATGTATCAGTGTTCATAAAAAGTTGATACAATTTGAGCCAGTAATTCTACATCCAGAATTTAATTCTTAGGAGATGATTGGATATGCATAGAAACCTTCAGAGTTTATGTATAAACAGATCCTAAATTCTAAAAAATAGAGGATTGGTTTAAAACTTGTGATACATCCATTCGATGAAATAATATGCAGCCATTGAAAGTCATGATTTTGAAGAATATCCAAAGAAAAGGGGGAGATAACATTTTATGGTGGTGCAAATAGTTAATGTGCTCAGCTGCTGACTGAAAGACTGGCAGTTCAAGTCCACCCAGAGGCACCTCGGGGGAAAGGCTTGGTGATCTGTTTCTTAATAATTAGCTGTTGAAAACCCTAAGGAGCACAGTTCTACTCTGACACATGTGGGGTCGCCATGAGTTAGATTCAGTTCAGTGGTAACTGATATAAATAGAAAAGAAAAACACAAATAATGACAAAAAAATACGGTGCTTGAGATGATAGTGGGAGATCCCCATTTAGTATTTGGAAGGAAACAGTCCTATCATTTTTTTCCCTTTCTATTATTGTTATTATTGTTGTTGTACAAGTAAAATATATTTATTGGATGAAAATTAACATTTATGGGAAAAAAAAAAACCCCAAAACAAGAAAGAAACAAAGCACATGCTGGCATTCTTATCACTCAGAGATAAACAATGTTAAGACCTTGGTGTATTGTCTTCACCTTTTCCCTAGGTCTGTTACACTTTTGTATCTTTATAAAAAGTATCATCATACTCCCTAATGATATTTTGTAACCTTTTTAAAGCTTGCAGTAATGTAAGCTTCCTTCCTTTGTGTGTGTGTTAAATAGATGTATACCAATCATTATAGAGATGTGGCCATAATTTATTTAACAACTTTCTTATTACTGCATATTTAGCTTGTTAATCACTTCTCACTTTCTAAACAATGCAGTGATTAATTTCTTTGTATACAACTTTGCACACTTGCTATTATTTCTTAAGGATACACTATTAAAGTGGAGTTGATGTGTTAACCAAATGGACTGAATATTTTAAAGGCTTTTAATGAGCCCGTGATATTTGTGTACATTTTTGTACATACGTTTAATATTTCTCCCGTTTTCTGACTGGAAGAAAGTATGTCGGCTTTTTAAAAAAGTGATTGTAACGTATAAAATCTGGAAAGATTTGTTTTCTTCCTTTTTTCCTCAAATATTCTAAATTTTCTGCAATGAATTTGTGTTAGTTTTATAATCAGAAACCAGCGTTTCAGTCGAAGGTAATATGATCTCAAAGATGTATTTTAAAATTGTATATTATATATCAGCATTTACTGTATTTTTATGCAAATAACTCGTGCTTTCTATGTTTGTTTGCCAACCGCGCCCTCCCGCCGTGAGGTATTTTCGTAAGTGCTGCTATGCTGACTTTTTTTACAGCATCATGTACAAAAATTAGCATAGCGGCACTTACGAGGGAGGACATGGTTGGCAAACAAATGTAGACTGCGCACGTTATTTGTATAAAAATATGGTACTTATCACCAGTTCCATTCTCCATATTTAAGTGTCATTAAAATTTGTTCTCTTACCCGCTTCTGTGTTGTCTGAAAGTCTTACAGCACCATCAGAAAGGAACCACTCTAAATGTCAGAACCCATAATGAAATTACACTTAATTCTCTTTCTATACATGGCCCCTTGACTCAGTAGTAGCCTTGTTGGTACTAGCCTTAGAATGCTGATTACTCAGAAATATTTTTTATATATTTATAATTTCAGTTAGAGTTTCTGTCGCTTGTGGTTTGTGAATATAGTGTTATGTTTGTTTCCTGCGTTTTCGTTTGTCTGTTCTAGATGCACCCCTTGAATTGCCGTCATTCTATATGACCCCATCTCACCGTCAGGTTGTATTTGAAGGGGACAGCCTCCCTTTCCAGTGCATGGCCTCCTATATTGATCAGGACATGCAGGTGCTGTGGTCTCAGGATGGGCGGATAGTTGAAACAGATGAATCGCAAGGCATCTTTGTTGAAAAGAATATGATTCACAACTGCTCGTTGATTGCAAGGTAAACTTTTTAAGACAGAGTTGTCTCTGTGGCTTTTATTTATCCTTTCAGGATTGTAATGTTTAGTTGGAATTTGAATCAATATTTTTTACTTACCTTACCTTGTAAAATGCAGACATCTAGAGTTTTCTTTTTCTGATTTTTATTCAGCATCTAGAGTTAAGTAGCCTTCTTTTCCCTTCAGTTTTAGAAGATGAATGGGTAGGATAAAAGGGAAATGCTTTTTAAACATTGGCACCTTTTGATTAAACTCTCAGGAAGATAAATGTAAACTTCTAGTGACAAACTTAATTTTAACCATTTTCTGCTGCTAAGTTCATATTTTCACTTTTAAGAATCAACCTGTTTTCAGTGTTTCGTCTTGTGATTAATGCTACATTTTTAGATAATGCCTCTCCTAAACCCACTAGTATAAATAACCTGTTCTATCAACCCTATGATTGCAGTGAGCACCAAAATCGTTATTTTGAATGAATTTTATAAAGCATAAATATATATATGTATAAAAACCGAAACCAAACCTGTTGCTGTCAAGTTGATTCTGACTTGTAGCGACCCTATAGGGTAGAGTAGAACTACCCCGTAGGGTTTCCGAGGAGCCCCTGGTGGATTCAAACTGCCAACTTTTTGGTTAGCAGCCGAGCTCTTAACCCCTGCACCACCAGGGCTCTGATATGTATATCATCGCACTTAAATTAATCTAAATTCTTTATAGCAGTACTGTAGTGACCTTATAGGACAGTGTAGAACTGCCCCATAGGGTTTCCGAGGAGCAGCTGGTGGGTTTGAACTGCTAACCTTTTGGTTAGCAGCTGAGCTCTTAACCACTGTGCCACCAGGGTTCCATATATATTATCACACTTAATCTAAATTCTTTGTAACAGTACCAAAAAAATTAATTCTAGGAATAACAAACAAAAGTCTTTCATATGAAGACTGAGAATGAGAAGTCCTTTATCCACAGTTAGCCCCAGAATAATAAAGAAGTCATAGAAGAAGAAACCATGTGGTCCTTGAATTAGTTAAGCTGAGATGTACCTGTGTATTTGTTGTTGGTCTCCTCATCATATTGATCCTTCGTTGGTAAGAGTCACTGTTTGTAATTTTCCTAGAAGATGAAATTGAATCCACCTCTTTATCCTTAAATCTCCAAATTTGCTACATGGAGGTTTCCTGCAAATTTTATTCCAGTAATTGCTTTTAGACATCAAAGGCATTGCTAAAACTCATTCAAAAAATGTTTGCATAATATATTAGGACCGCAGTTCCCAAAGGCTGTGCCAGAATGCCCTGGGGCACTGTAGTGAATTCACAGAGGTACTGTGGTGTATTGTAAATTTTGGAGGGAAGCACAGTGATACTCAACATCTGTTGGACACCACATAACTATGTGCTCGAATTGGTTCACTGGGTCAGCGTTAGATTCCGCTTTTGTCCTTTTGGTGGTGACATACTTTGGGATGCTGGGGTTTGGGCGATTACAGTGATAAAAAGCAAGTATTGTGCGAAAATCATTGTGGAACCGGAAGTAAGGGTTGTCAGTGTCTGATCTAAATGTCAGAATTGAATAGTGCCCAATAGGAACACACCTCCCACTAGTAAGTAATTATGGTTATTTAAAAATGAAATATATTTTTCAATTTACGTGTGTTTTCAAATTGTTAGTAAGTTGGTAGGATATAGACACACAGATTTGGGATTGAACTCGACACATGGAGCACCATAGGTGTTTCTTTTGGACTAGCGACATCGTGAAAAAATTGTCTAGTCACTGAGACTCTGTGAATTGACAAAGTTTGGGCACTTCTGGATTAGGGAATGATTTGCAGTGCCAAAATATCCTATGTACTTTTCTTCCTAGTTTAGTAGAGCCATGAAGAAGCAGAGCGTTTGGCACAGTTTTCGGTTACTTAGATTTAATGTCAAACTATTTCTGTATTGTTTTATATTGAAAATATTTATGATGGTATATTGATTTATTTTCAAACTTAAGTGAGTTAGTAAAGATAATAAGCATTTTCTTTGGTGATTCAGAATATAACGGTGTCTCAGTCTTCATTAGAACATTTGCTGTTATATAGAAATTTAGGCCATCAGTGATTTAGGAGACTGGACAAATGTGTATCCAAGGCATGATTTTATTAGTTAATTAAAATGATACATGCTTTATGTGTAATTGTCTCTTATCATCTGTGTGTACATAAAAGCAAAGCACTGCAAGGAGAGTTAAGGTTAATTGAAGGTTCTGACGTTTGCTTTTCAGTGAATAGGTTTTATCTTAGGGAATTATGATCTCGTCTTGCAAATTGAATTTACTGACAGCCATTTAGAAATACAGCTGTTTTAACAATTGAAGTTTACCTTTACATGGAAAAGTCCTTTTGTTAAAACATTAATTGGTAATATACTAAATCTTTTTAGAGATTTAACTGGTTATTCCTAGTATAAGTCTTCCACAAAATATTTTACCTTAAATATTTTCTTAATTACATGCTTCATAGGTCCCTTGGTGGTGCAAACTGTTTGCCCTGGATTACTAACGTAAAGGTGGGTGGTTTGAACCCACCCGGTGGCGTCACAGAAGAAAGATCTGGTGATACGTTTCTGTAAAGATTACAGCCAAGAAAACCCTGTGGAGCACAGTTCTACTCTGAAACACATGGGGTTGCCATGAGTCAGAATTGACATGATAGCAACGAGTTATGGTCTCAGGCATGTTACTTAAATGCACTGAGCCTCTATGCCACCAGCTATAAAATGGGACAAAATTGCAGACTTCATATGATTAGTCTCCTTTTTTCATGCTTGAATATTTTCCTCAGAGGCTGTGAAAAGGTAGATGTAACTTGGAAACTCCATTAGTTTCGCTGAAGAATGTGCCATGATGTTTCTGGCTTTGCACTTGCTATTCCCACGCCCGCAGTTCTGTTCTCTCTTTTTCTGTCGTATTACGTACCGCTGCACTTCGTTCATACTTCTGTTACAGCTCTTATCATAGTTTTTCAAGTCTCCCCATACCTGTTTGTCTTCTTGACTTGCTGATGAAATACCGCAAGGGGAGCGGTCATTTTTAATCAGTTTTCATCTAGCAAGTGCTTGGCCCACAATGCATTCGGACATATTTACAAAATGAATGATGGAAGCCCAGGTTGTCTCCCTTTATGTCTAACCCTATTTTCTCTCTCTTTTTTAAAATTTTTCTTCATGTAGTGCCCTAACCATCTCTAATATTCAGGCTGGATCTACTGGAAATTGGGGCTGCCATGTCCAGACCAAACGTGGGAACAATACGAGAACTGTCGACATTGTGGTGTTAGAAAGCTCTGCCCAGTACTGCCCTCCCGAGAGGGTGGTAAACAATAAAGGTGACTTCAGGTCAGTGATGTGGAAAGTACTGACAAGGTCTGACTTGGCCTTTAACTCCTTTTTGTTCTTAAAGGCACGTGATTGGTCTCCTATCCTTAGTAACAAAATTTGAGAAATGTGTATATGTACATGTTACATGTATAATCTTGTATAGGTGTCTGATGGTTACCCTTTAGAACAGTGATGGTTTCAGAATCATCAGGGGAGATTAAAAAAGATAACAGTTGATGTTTTTGCTTGAACCTTATCCCAGATCTTTTAAGTTAAGACTCTCTTGGAGATAACGCTGAAGGCATTCATTTTAACAGGAGTTTTGTGGTTCAAGTTAAGAACCAGTACTTTAGGACAACGTTATGGGTAGCGTGCTAAAGTTGTGCAAAATTCAGGCAGGCTAATGGTGTTTCGTGTTTTTCCAAGGGCTCTTTTATGGATAAAGTTGGAAAAGTTGTGTATAAGTTACTTTTAACTATTGCAAGGAGCCCTGGTGGTGCAGTGGTTAAGCACTCTGCTGCTAACCGAAAGGTTGGCAGTTCTTATCTACCCATTGGCTTTGCAGGAGAAAGACCCGGCAGTCTGCTCCTGGAAAGATGACAGCCTAGAAAACCCTATGGGACAGTTCTACTTTGTCACATGGGGTCGCTACGAGTCAAAATTGACTCACTGGCACCTAACAACAACAACATTGCCGGTTACACAGACATCTTAATTAGGAGAAACACATATCTAATTTTCTTTCCCAATTCAGTTCTTTTGGCAGTTAAGTGAGATGGATTTTAAGAAATGAAAGCCATTCTGTAGCCTGAAACTTGGGGAGTCATTGATACCCCGCGTGAGTTTGTTGGACTCTGTGTTAAGATGAGCAGTATGAGTTAAATATTAAAGATATATTTAGTAGAAAGTTTAGAATTTATGAGAGGTAGCAGTTTTTACTTTAGATTCTCCTTAATTTCAAAATTGCTGAAAAACATTTTAAAATAAATTATTTACTTGATATGCTGTGTCTTCACTGATTTTTAATAATGAGCTAGTAAAACCCCAAACCAAATCCATTACCACTGAGTCAGTTCTGACTCATGGCAACCCTGTGTGCTTCAGAGTAGAACTGTACTCTACAGGGTTTTCTTGGCTGTAATCTTAAATGGAAGCAGATCTCCAGGCCTTTCTCCATGGTGCCACTGAGTGGATTTGAGCTGCCAACCTTTCAATTAGTAGCCAAGAGCAAACCATTTGCACCGCCCAGGGACCTAATGCGCTTATAGTTGATGTAAATGAAAGGAAATAGATTGCTTTTTAAAGCAGCATAAAGACTTTAATACCCACCTTGTATTGTCTGTGATTGATACTACTGCTACCTCATGGCTATAAGGCTATAAGTTTTTAAGAGTGAAGGAAACTCTTTGGGTGTTAATTTTTTCAAATCCAAGGTGAAGAAGTGATACTTCTTTAGCTCAGCTAGTTCTTCCTTGCTCTTTTTATTGTCTTTTGTCCCCTTTTTTTTTTTTTAATTAAATACTTTTCTCTTTTACACGAGTATATGGAAATCAGCATTTATTATTGCCAACAGATAAGTCTCTTATGTGGATTAACTATTGATCTGTAATAATTATATTGTGGATTAACTACTGATCTGTAATATTTATATTGTAGATAATATTTGTTAATTTTGTTGTATTCAGCTTCTTTTATTAAAACAATCGTAGAATGTTGTTCTCTGTTTGAGACGAGTTTTCTCTTTTTTCCTCGTAGTGTTTGAGTGCTTTACGTTTTTAATGATAGATGAAAATATAATCAATGAGTTATTTATCTTTTAACACTCCTTAAGGCATCCTACAATTAAAATCCCACTACATTAGTAAGATTTAATTTAGTGTTGCTTGGTCTGTTTATGCAGTTTTTGGTGATGAATTATTTTTGTTGTGACTGATATTATAATTCAGCAGCTCCTCTGTTATGTATCAGCTGTAACTTGTATTAAGTGTGTTCAATATCATTCCCAGTTTTGGAGGCATTAACAATGGAGGTCAAATAAAGATTTTTCCTAGCCCGGTTAGTGATGATCCATGTCAAACTGGGTTGTCAACCTGGATACTGAGTGTAGTCACCTGTGTACTGAGTGGCTTCTCCCTAATAAATTTGGCTGTATACCGTGTTGGGGCTTCCCAAGACCCACCCCCGTGTTCAGAAATTCACTAGAAGGAATCAGGAGACTCAGTATATACTTGTACTCACAGCTAAGATTTATTGCAGTGATGTTGTGAGGCTATCAGGTCCCTGGGTGGTGCAAATGGTTTGTGCTCTACTGCTAATTGGAATGGTGGCAGTTCAGACCCACCCAGCAGCATGCAGAAGACAGGCCCGGTGATCTGCTTCCATAAAGCTTGCAGCCAAGAAAATCCTATGGAGTGCAATTCTACTCTATAACACAAGTCGGAATTGACTTGAGAGCAGTAGGTTTTTGTTTTTTTGTCTTTTGGTGAGGATACGCAGAAGATCATAAGGGAAAAAGACATAGATGGAGTCTGCAGAAACCCATGTGAGGCTTCCTATACTCTCTCTCCCATGAAAAGCCACACAGCTTCCTCTTCCTCCAGCAATGAAAATGCAGCACCATCAGTGTGATGTTTCTGCCCAGGGAAGCCCATAGGAGGCTTAGCATCCAAGCTTTTTATTGGATGCTGGTCACGTAGGCATCCTCTGCCTAGCATGTACCAAAACTCCAGACTTCCTGGAGGAAGGCAGTTGCTCAGCATAAATCATATTGTCTGCCCAAACAGTCTAGGCACAGTGAGCCACCCTTATCAGCGAGAGCCAAGTCCCCAGATACCAGCCCAGGCCCAGCCTTGCAGGCAGGCGTTTCTGAGGGCAGCAGTCTCAGGCCTACTGTGCTAACACTTTTCTACACATGTACTCTTTACTTCTATAAAAGACCAAATTATATTTATGCTGGACAAGATTCTGACCTTATGTGTGTGAGTTACATAAGCCAACAATTTGATAATATAAAATAACAGTAATTAAAAAGAAATGCAAAACCCGTTTTCTGCTCCATTTTTCTTTTTTACTAGATAAGATACAATTTCATTGTTCATTCACAGCCATATCCAGAATACTTTAGAATTTTATTTTACAAAAGTATTTTATTCTGTTGTGATATTAAAATATACTCAGCTGACAGCTTAAAATAGGTTAAAAAAAAAACCAAACCAATTGCTGGTGAGTCGATTCTGACTCATAGCAACTCTGTAGGACTCTATAGGAGTAGAACAGCCTCATAGGGTTTCCAGGGAGCAGCTGCTGGATTCAAACTGCCGACCTTTTGGTTAGCAGCCAAGCTCTTAACCACGGTGCCAGGTTAGTCAATGTTAAAAAAAAATTTTTTTAAATTTATTTTAGGTGAAGGTTTACAGAACAAATAATTTCTCGTTAAACAGTCAGCACACATATTGTTTTATGACGTTGGTTAACAACCCCACGACATGTCCACACTCTCCCTTCTCGACCTTGGAGGACCTTTTTTTTTTTTGGTGAAAGTATACATAGCCAAAGATACACCATTTCAAAAATTTCTACATGTACAATTCAGTGACACTGATTTTGTTCTTCCAGTTGTGCTGCAATTCTCACTATCCTTTTCCAAATTATTCCATCACCATTATCTTCAAATCACTGTCCCCTAGGCTTCCCGTCAAACCTTTTGAGTTGCTGTTGTCAGTTTGATCTCACATAGATAATTCTTTGTTGCTTTTTTTTTTGTGCTTTAGATGAAGGTTTACAGAAGAAAACAGTTTCTCATTAAACAGTTAGTACACATATTGCCCTATGACGATTGTTAACAACCCTATGACATGTCAACACTGTCCTTTCTCAATCTTGGGTTCCCTATCACCAGATTTCCTGTCCTCTCCTGCCTTCTAGTCCTTGTCCCTGGACTGCTGTGCCTCATTAGTCCTGTTTTGTTTTATGAGGTTGTCCAGTCCCTGGCTGAATGGTGAACCTTGGGAGTGACTTCACCACTGAGCTAAAAGGGTGTGTGGGGGCCATACTCTTGGGGTTTCTCCAGTCTCTGTCAGGCCAATAAATCTAGTCTCTTTTTGTTTGTTAGAATTTTGTTCTACGTCCTTCTCCAGCTCTGTCCAGGACCCTCTGTTGTGATCCCGGTCACAGCAGTCGGTGGTGGTAGCCGGGCACCATCTGGCTGTACTGGACTCAGTCTGGTGGAGGCCTTGGTAGCTGTGGTCCATTAGTCCTTTGGACTGATCTTTTCCTTGTATCCTGTTCTCTTCATTCTCCCTTGCTCCTGAAGGGATGAGACCAGTGGAGTACCTTAGATGGCTGCTCACAGGCTTTTAAGACCCCAGACGCTACTCACTAAGGTAGAAGGTAGAACATTGCCTTTATAAACTGTGTTATGCCGATTGAGCTAGATGTTCCCCGAGACCATGGTCCCCACAGCCCTACACTCAGCAATTCAGTCCCTCAGGGAGTTTGGATGTGTCTGCAGAGCGTCCATGACCTTTCCTTACACAAGTTATGGTGGCTTCCCCAGGATTGTGTACTGTCTTCCCTTCACCAAAGTTAACACTTATCTATTGTCTGTTTACCCCCACCCCCACCCCAATCCCTGGTAACCAACAAAGATTGTTTCTTTTTATGTGTAAACTTTTTCATGAGTTTTTACAGTAGAAATCTCATACAATGTTTGTCCTTTCGTGATTGACTTATTTAACTCAGCATAATGTCCTCCAGTTTCATCCATGTTATGAGATGCTTCACGGATTCATCATCATTCTTTATCACTGAATAATACTCCATTGTGTATGTACCATAGTTTGTTTATCCATTCATCTGTTGATGGACATCTAGGTTGTTTCCATCGTTTTGCTATATGAACATAGGTGTGCATATGTCTATTCGAGTGACGACTTTTATTTCTCTGGGATATATTCCTAGGAGTGGGTTTGCTGGATCGAATGGTATGTCTATTTCTAGCTTTCTAAGGAAGCATGATATCATTTTCCAAAATGGTTGCATCATTATGCATTCCCACCAGCAGTGCATAAGAGTTCCCATCTCCCCGCAGCCTCCAACATTTGTTATTTCCAGTGTTTCTGATTCGTTCCAGTAATGCTGGGATGAGATGGTATCTCATTGTGGTTTTTATTTGCATTTCTCTAATGGCTAGTGATCGCGAACATTTCCTCAAGTGTCTGTTGGCTGCTTGAACGTCTTCTTTGGTGAAGTGCCTGTTCATTTCCTTTGCCCATTTTTTAATTGGATTATTTGTCTTTTTTTGTAGAGTTAAAAAAAATTTTTGTTTTGTAATTTTGATCTCGAATTTTAAGGAAGTTTTGTTTGTTTCTTCTCCTTGGTTTTGCTCCGCTATTATACATGACGGTGGTTCCATGGGAGAGAAACCTGGTAACCTGCTCCCATAAAGATTACAACCTAGGAAACTGTATGGGGCCGTTCTACTCTGTCCTGTAGGGTCGCTATGAGTCAGAATCGACTTGATGGCACACAGCAACAAAATTCTACATGCCGTGTTCTAATATTAGGTTTTTTTCTCTGTTACTACTTTTGCCTTTTAGTTTTTTTATCCTATTTCTTTTTCATCTGTCTAGGTGGCCCAGAACTTTGGCGGGCATTACGGCATATCTGCAGTGTACTCGTAACACTCACGGCAGTGGAATATATCCTGGGAACCCACAGGATGAGAGAAAGGCTTGGCGCAGATGTGACAGAGGTGGCTTTTGGGCAGATGATGACTATTCTCGATGCCAGTATGCAAATGATGTCACTAGAGTACTCTATATGTTTAATCAGGTAAGTAGAGAGTCTTCATATTTACTGAAAGTTGTGAATAAGACATGCTAGTCAAACTAAATACATACTCACCCCTTGCCCCAACTAGGTAAAGTGTAAGAATTTGGTGTTTGTAACTCACTTTTTCTAAAAATTTATTTAGAGATTTATTTTTCTTCAGGATCAGGTCTTGGCTTCTTAACTGGTATTCAAGGCCCTCTAGGAACCCCTGTGGTGGTTGTTGTTGGGTGCCATCAAGGTGATTTTGACTCATAATGACTTCATAGAGTTGCCCCATAGGATTTTCTAGGCTGTAATCTTTACAGGAGTAGATTGCCAGGTCTTTCTCCCATGGAGCTGCTGGCTGGGTTCAGACTGCCTGCTTTCGGTTTGCAGCCAAGTGCTAAACCATTGTGCCACCCAGGGCTCCTCCCAGGGCTCCTTCTAGGAGTCCCTGGATGATGCAGATGGTTAAGCACTTGACTCCTAACCTGAGTTGGTAATTCAGATCTACCCAGAGGTGCCTTGGAAGAAAGACCTGGTGATCTATTCCCAAAAGATCACAGCTGTAGAAAACACAACCGTTGGAGCACAGTTCAACGCTGAACCCATGAGGTTTGCCATGAGTCGGAATCGACTTGATGGCAGCTGGTTTTGTTTTCCTTGGTTGTGATATCATTCTTCCTTCTCAGTCATTGCCTCACTTTGTGCCTTTGCTTGAATACCTTTATTGTCTGTTTTTTGGGCAAAATCCCAACCAGCTTTAAGTCCACCTGGAAAGCCACTTCTTGGGTGCCTTCTGTAATCTCCTTTGTCAAAAGCAATTCATTATGGTACTTCTACTCCTCATATGCCTTTATTACCTTTGCTTCTCTGTCTTTTCTACACATTAGCAGATTATAATCAACTGGAACGTGGTTTCTGTGCTATACATTCATTTTCTTATGCTCTTTACCACCTAGTATACCATTTTGCAACGTTTGGTGCTCAGTCAATGTTTAAGTCAGTAAATAAACACATGTAATACATGACAGGCAGCGCATGGTGATAAAGATGAGCGCTCAGTAAGTGGTTCTTACTCGTGTGCAGCAGGAGTTCAGGCAAGGTATTGATCACTCCCAGCTGGGGCCCTCAGGAAAGGCTTTACCAAGCAGTTGGGATGGAGGTATGCGTAGAATGTGGATCAGCAGAGAGGAAGATGGTGCAGCATGTTTACCTGATGGGCTTTTATGCATTATTCTATTTCATCCCAAGTTAAAAATTTTCCCTGCTTAGTTTCCATTAAAATTCCAGTTTTCTCAGGTTTGAAAAAAGCATTTTAAGAAGGTCATGGTGAGTAAATGATAATGTACTTTTATTCTTTGCCATGTTTTAGAATGCAAAGTTAAGATGTCAAAACTCGAATCATTTTGCTAAGTGCTTCTTTCTGCCTTTTAAATGTAGATGCCCCTCAATGTTACAAATGCTGTGGCAACAGCTCGACAATTATTGGCTTACACCGTGGAAGCAGCCAACTTTTCTGACAAAATGGATGTTATATTTGTGGCCGAAATGATAGAAAAATTTGGAAGATTTACCAAAGAGGAAAAATCAAAAGAGGTATTTTTCTGGTTGAGGTTTATAGCATATAGGGACAACAAATGGTGTATGTGTGATAAGAGTTGAAACTATATTTTTAAAGCCTTGTTTATGTTTGCTATATCTGAACTAAATATACTTTATATATTTCTAAGATGGTTGTTGAGAAACTCACGACCTGTTATTGGGAGGAGTAAGGTCAACTCTCAATTCTTGGGAATTAAGATTTCTTGATTGTTATGGATTGAATTGTCCCACAAAAAGTTATGTTGAAGTTCTGACCCCTGTAACTATAAACGTGACTCTAATTGTGAATCGGTTTTTTTTTTTTTGTTACATTAATGGTGCCATATTGGAGTAGGGTGGGTCCTAAACCTAATTACTCTAAGTGGTATTTTATTAAAAGAGCAAAATAGACACAGACACACACAGGGACGACACACATATGGAGAAGACAGATGCAACTGCAAGCCCAGGAATGCAGAGGATTATCTGCAGTTATTAGAAGCTGAGAGGCATTGGTGGTTCAGTGGTAGAATTCTCGCCTGCCATACAAGAGACTTATGTTCAATTCCTGGCCAGTGCACCTCATGTGCGGCCATCGCCTGTCTGTCAGTGGAAGCTTCTGTGTTGCTGTGATGCTGAACAGGTTTTAGTGGAGCTTCCAGACTAAGATGGACTAGGAAGAAAGGCCTGGTGATCTACTTCTGAAAATCTGTCAGTGAAAACCCTGTGGATCGCAGTGATTAAATCTGCAATTGATCACAGAGATGGTCTGGGACCAGGAGTCATTTTGTTCCCTTGTGCATGGGGTCACCATGAGTCTGGGGCCATATGGACATCAGTTAACAACAGCCCAACTAGAAATTAAGAGAGACAAAGAAGGAACTTCCATAGAGCCGACACCCTGAATTCACACTTACAAGCTGTGGAACTGTGAGAAAATAAATTTTGTATTCTTTAAAACCACCCACCAGTGGTATTTTTTTGATACGACATCACTAGGGAGGGCTAAGACAGTGATGTAACAGATTAAGCAAATGAGAAAACAGCGTTCTGTGTCTACGTGGTGGATTAGCAAGGACTTTTTATCTTGAGCTTTCTGGGATTTCTCTTCTCTACACAACCATGTGTTCATCCTTCTTAGTATGATTTGAGTCACTCAAATCTTGTATTGTTGCTTTTGTGATGTTCTGGAGAAATGACAGGCTGTTTCAGAACTTGTTGATATTCTAAATAATTAGAGTATACATGTTTTGAAAGTTTAGTGACTTTGAAAAAGGGATGCATTTTAATGGGTCCACATTAAAACTGCGATAGGCTTGTCAATATTATATTCTTTAAGGGAAATAAATGGATATCAACCACAGTGTTCAGATTGAGTAAGGCAAATAGTGTTTTGTAACAAGTTTTAAGGAGATTAATGTATTCTTAAATGTCAGTTTCAAGCTACATGAGGATTTGGTGTATACTGTCTTTTCTGATATAATTCCTTACACAGACATTAATTTTAGAGGAACAGGGAACCCAGATCAAGTGACAAGCTGCAGCCCAAAGAAATTGAAGTGATTGATCCAAGGTTATACAGCTAGGTTAGAACAGGGCCAAGAACAGCCCAAGAGCCCAGACTTCCTAATCTGAAGCCTTTTCTACAGTATCACATTTACTTTTTAGTACAGTGTTGATCTGTCTTTGTATTTCGGTAGTATTCAGTACACAGTTGTGGGGAAAACACTGAGCTAAACAAAGTTTAACATATTTCTTCCTTAGAACATCTGAGACCATCAGTATGCTAAAAGATAAATGATATGCCTGGTTTTCCTAAATAGTTTCACCAAGGATGATGATGATTATTATTTTTTGGTAGAATAGCTATTAATATCTTGCATTTTGGCGATAAGTTTTGGAACTGTTGCTCTAGTACTGTGCTATGGATTAAATTGTGTCCCCCCAGAATAAGTGTTGGAATCCTTACCCCATACCTGTGGGTATAATCCTGCTTAGAAGTAGAGTTTTCTTTGGCTGTGAATGAGGCCGTGGAGTGTTGGGTGTGTCCTAAATCCAGTCAGCTTTAAGTTGTAAGAAGAGCAGATTAGACACAAATGTAAAGGCATACTGGGGAAAACAGATGCAATGTTAGGATACTCCACAAGCCAAGGAACCAAGGAGCACCTGGGGCTTCTGACAAGGAAGGAATGAATCAACAAGGCCAAGGCCCGAATTTGGATGTGTAGCCTCCTAAACCAAATTTCTGTTCTTTAAAGCCACCAGCTTGTGGTATTTCTCTTACAGCAGCACTAGGAAACTAAGACATACATACCTTTAGATGCTTTACTTGATATTATATAATTGTCAAAGGAATAAAAATGCATAAATGTGTGTGTGTAAATGGGATGATAAGATTAAATTCCAGCCTTGTTAGGTGAACTTCAGACACCCTGACTTACTACTGAGCTGGCCTGGTACCCGATTTTGTCTCTGGGCCATAACCCACTTCCATGTGGTAGATTTTCAGTGGGAAAAGCTGCCTAGATTCTGGTTCTGTGGTAATTTTGCTCTCCATTATTATATTTAATCACAGTTTGTTGCCCACATGATTATTAGTCATTTATGGAAGTGGAGTGTTTTGAGTCACTAAAGTGATTGAGCTGACATTTGGAATCTGTACATTCAAAGAGATTTTTGCCATTATATAATACATGTTTATTCACATGTTTCTGTGTTGTACTATGAGGGACCTTTGCTCTAATTCCTAAATCATGATGAAAAATCACTCTAGTAAAATGTGGTGTCCAGAGCTATCTGTTTAACTGTGTTTGCCAGTCTGAAATCAGCGATCTGCTGCTTTGAAGTGTTCTTGGGTGGAAACATCTTGTTGGGGACTGGAAGTAGACTTAATTTAATGAGTTATTATTTGACCATGGGCCTTTTCTTTGTTTCTAAAATGAGATTGATATTTTTCCTGCTTCATTTGTAAAGTTTGTGGGCACAACTGAGAAAATAATAGGCAAAGTGATTTTGCAGTTGACAAAGCTCTAGGATATTATTTTACATCAGTACCTGTTGTTGTTGAGGCAGCTCCGACTCGTGGTAAACCCGTGTGTGTCAGAATAGAACAGTGCTCCACAGGGTTTTCAATGGCTGATTTTTTGGAAATAGATCTCCAGGCCTTTCTTCCCAGGCACCTCTTGGGGAACTTGAACCTCCAACCTTTTGGCCAGCAGCTGAGCACGTTAATCATTTGCACCACCCAGGGATTCCACAGGATGATGAAATTTGACATTACTATACTCTCAGAAGCTAAGAAGGGGGTCCTTTAAAAAAGAAAAACACTGGAGTGTTTCCGTTATCTAAAAATTTAGTTTGAAGGAGATTACTGTCACTTTACATTAGTTAACATAGGTGGTAACGTTATGATTATCTTTGGAAACAAATAACGACCACTTGGTAAGTATAAATAGAAGAAACGAAAAATATTCAGGGTTGAATAATTGAGGTCTAAAGGGAAATATATAAAGGTAAAAAGCCATGATATTTTCAGTTGTGTCATATGCATGGTGAAAGCTGGACAGTGAATGAGGAAGACCAAAGAAGAATTGATGCCTTTAAATTACGATGTTGGCGAAGGATATTGAATATACCATGGACTGCCAGAAGAACCAACAAGTCTGTCTTGGAAGAAGTACAGCCAGAGTTTTCCTTAGAAGTGAGAATGGTGAGACTTCGTCTCACATACTTTGGACAAATAATCAGTAGAGTCCCTGGAGAAGGACATCATGCTTGGTAAAGTAGAAAGTCAGTAAAAAAGAGGAAGACCCTCGATGAGATGGATGGACACAGTGGCTGCAACGACGAGCTCAAACATAACAATTGTGAGAATGTCAAAGGACCAGGCAGTGTTTTGTTCTGTTGTACGTAGAATCACTATGAGTCTGAACTGACTTGACAGCAACTAACAGTAACAACAACAAAGGTAATATTACCTGTACTGGGGTGACAGACATCCTGTCCAATTATTTAACTTAAACTACTGGCCATTGCTTTCACTGTTCGTTAGTATAGTAAAAAAAAAAACAAAAAAACGAGGTTTAAGAGCTTCATTTTAAGTTAATTAGCACAACATAAAATTATGCTCAGGTAGCCTGAAATGCATATAGCTCAGTTGGAAAAATAATTAGTTTAATTGATTTTTGTATTATGTCCAAAAAGTTATCCTGCTATAGATTATTTTATAATGAAAATATTGTGAGTCAATTGCTTTTTAACTTGTTAGTCTAGCCAACATAAGCTAGTAGTCTGTCATCTTAGGGTAGGTAATAAAAGCTATTAAACTGACAGATCTAAGTGATATGTTTAGTGGTTTTTTTAGAGTCAGCTGAAGGTTGTTTGTCAGGCAACATAAGTGTCTGTTCCATATTTAACAAGAGTGACTTTTTTAAACATAAAAACAGTATATATCCATTGCAGAAAATGAGAGAATGCATAAAGATTCCATTTGTTTATGTTTGATAGTCTCTGTATTGTGCTATAATTTTGAGTATGTGAATGAGACATGCACATTAAAGCCACTCTACTACTAAGTACAGTTAGCATACATTGTGTATAAAATTTAAAATGTGTGGTTTTTTAATTTATTAAATTTAAAGCTTAACCATGTCTCTATTGTTTTCTTGATCAAACTTGGCAGTGTTTTCTGTATTATTAAGCATTTCAAAGGCCCAGCTTCTGACTTTGTTGATCCTTTCTAGAGCATTGTTTCTAAAACTTGAGCCATCCTCATCATCGTTGGTGTTTTTGAGTCCTTTTTTTTTCTTCTTCTTCTTCTTTTTTAATTGTACTTTAGGTGAAGGTTTACAGAACAAATATTTTCTCATTAGATAGTCAGTACACATATTGTTTTATGACATTGGTTAACAACCCCGTGACATGTCAATATGCTCCCTTCTCGGCCTTGGAGGACCCTTTTTTTTTTTTT